ACGCCCGCAGGTTTTCCTGTGGGGAGGAGGAATGGGGTTTTGAAGGCTCCCTGCCTCTGGCAGGGTGGAGTGGGCTGTCATCCTCTAACTCTGGAGGAACGTGTGTGCATGGAGGGAGAGAGCCCTCCAGCAGTGTCGCTAAATGAATGATGGATGAGTTTTGCATGGGATGCAGATGCCTCTGAACGCCCCATCCTGCCCAGCTAACTGCAGGATTGAAGCTGAAGTTGTGCCTTTGGACAACTCAGAGGAGATTTGGAGACTCTGAAGCTGAAATTGTGAGCTGCTTTCAAGTAGCCCCAAGTTCTCTGGGCTGGAGAATGGGGCAGCATGTTTGCTCTGGAGATAGTTTGCAAAGGGCAGCATGTAACGTGTCCACCCAATGCCAAGATTAACCAGCTAAGAGCAAAACTCCTTAAACTGTTAGACCAAAAAGGGTCTCAAAGGGTGATTTGGTCTGATCATCTCCAGAGCTTGAATGGGTTTGAACCCTGTGTGGTTACTGGGAACTGTAACGATGTTTGCTGTTGAAGCAATGATAAGGGTGTCTTTGTTGTAACTCACTACATGTTACCCATTATATGACCTCTCACTGTGCTCTCACTAAGAGAAAATGATGCTGAAGAGAAAAAAGTAAGAGGGATTGAAATAGAGAGATCTACTCTCTCCCACAGCCCAAGAGAGATTGGATCTAATCATCGCTTCTGGCAGGTATTTGTCTAATGCACTGCAGAGACCATGAGTGATGGAGACTCCAGTCACCCAAGACAGTGTCCTCCAGTGCCTTGGTAATCTTCATCTTCATTAGCGTTGCCTAACCGCTAACCTAAACCTACCCCAATGTGATTCACATTCATTAGTGCATGATGGGCAAGGGGAATAGGCTGCTCTTTTCCTCCTGGTAACTGTGGGGCATTTTTAAGTATGTGAGGACCTTTAGTTTGTGTTCTCACGCCCCACCTGCAATGCTTTCTCCTTTTTAGACTAGCAGGCCTAAATTTCGTGAGTATTTCCTAGTAAGCCACATTTTCTAGGCTGGTAGTCACGTCAGAGCTCTGCTCCAACTGGGCAGTTTTGCTGCTGAGACCTTCCCAGCCCTGTGTGAGGCTACAGAGATACTTCATACTCCTGGTAGGCTTTGTCCCTCTTGACACATCCTGGGACAATGACCCTTTTTTCCCCCCAACAGCCAGACTTTATTGACAGGAATGATTCACTACAAACCCTGCCTCTCTTCCCAAAGATTTGCCACCTAGTCAACCCTGTCTACATGTGATTCTCCTTTTGTAGTACTCTGCGCCTGTCCTTGCTGAACTTTATCCTAATTTTTAGACAATGGCATTTTTTTTGGTTTTTTCCAAGATGATTTTAGATAGTAATCCTGTTTGCCGGTGTGTCTGCAGTCACTCCCAGCTTCGTGTAATCTGTAGATTTAATAAGTGTGCTCACTTTCATCATCCAGGTCACTAATAAATGTGCTGAGCAGAACTAGACTATATAGATCCAGCAGAGCTCCGCTCACCGTGTCCTCCTGTTTTCACAGAATACCATTAATAACTACTCCCTGGGTATGGCTTTATAGTAGTCTCATTTAATCATGTTTCCCTGATTTATTTATGAGAAAGTTGTTTGAGATGGTGTCAAAAGCTATAATAAAGCCCAGATAAATGACATCTAACAACTTCTCCATTACGAAAAGAAATTAATTTGATTTGATAGGATTTTTTTCTGGTCTCTTCTATATCTGCTGCCATTTATATTTGTGTTATCTTCCACGTACATGCAAACTGTTTCTTTCTTTGTTTTAGAGTTTTTCAGAGGGTTGAAGCTAGACTGACTGATGTAGCATCCTTTTGCTGCTTCTCTTCCTACCCTTGAAGACAGGCGCCTTGCTTGCCTTTGTCCTGACTTCTGGCACCATACCTGCCTGAGCCCTCACAGGTGACCAGGACGGAGGCATCTAAAATGGCTTCAGCTGGTTTTGTAGGGAATTTAAAAGGTGGTTTGTCCCACCCTGCTGGTCTGGAAATACCTGACCTGGACAGAAGACTGATCTCACCTTGGAACGGGCAAAGAAGAGGATGGTAGACCTTTGTAGTGATAATGTGTCGTAGTATTAACTGTACTAATCCCCTGTGCATAGTAGACAATTTTAACAAGGACTAAAGCAAAAATCAAACCAGCCTTGCCTCTTTTGGTGTCATTTTTCAATAACTTCCTCTCTGTTTGAGCAACACTTTCTCCAGACTGTCTTCTTGGTATTAATATACATATAAAGGGTAATAATTTTTTTTGTCTTCTGCAAGTTTCATTTCATTTTTATGCCCTGATATTTCTAATATTTCTGCCAGTGTGTTCACACTATTTTTTTAACTCCTGCTCAGTAACCTTCTAGTGTTCTTTCTTCTTGTCTTTGAGGTAAATGAAAAGCTCACAATGCTGCCAAGTCTTCTGATCCTTCTTCTGCATTGAGATGTTATTGTGCCTGTGCCTTTTAAGCACAAAATATTGTTTCTTCGAGAAACTACAGCTCACCTTGATTTCTTTTTCCTTTAAACTCTTCTCCATGAATTCTTGCTTAACAGTTTTTTGGGTTGGTTTTTTTTTTAAGGTACTGAAGCCAGGCATTTCTGTTTTGCTGTCCCCAATCCCTTGCGTTTGGCAGATTTCATCATTTCACAGGCACTCTTACATGAATTTCCTTCCACCTTCTTACCCCCAACACATCCCTCTCTGGGGACACTTCCCTACTGATTACTTGACCTATCAGTTACATGAGAATATTGCTCTAAAGGCACCAGGACTCTGCTGCTGCTTTCCTTCCCTAGCAGACAGCTCATGCTTGTACTCTCCTATTACCACTGAGTCAGTTGTTATCGGGTAGCCTGTTCTACTTAATCTTCTCGGTTTGGGGTTTGTTGTGTCCTTCCCCATGGTTTTTTTCCCCCTTTCATTATTAACCAGAGAATTTGGCAGTTCTTCTTCCCTCTGTGTTCTGGACCTCAGAGCAAGTATATGCATCATCCGTGGGGTACTAAGAGATGCTGCCTCTACTTTTTCTCTGCCAGCCCATTTATAAGCTATGCATCTTGATATCAGTATTCCAGATGTATGTCTTACTACAACAAGTTCCAGTTATGTCAGTTAAATCAATCACTTTTGTCTTAAATTAAACCTGAGAGCTTCAATAAGACTTAAGTTCTGTGTTAAAAGCAATACATTCACCAATGTTGCATCTACGATATTCAGAGGATTTAAACCTATTTACTGGTCAATCTGTGACTGTATTATCACCTTTTCTTTTTAGACCTGTGCCGAGGCTGCTTCTGTCTTTATTCTTTCCTCTGGTTTTGTCTGCTATGTCTTCCACCCTGAGGCTAACTCACAAGACCCTCTCACCATGCAATAGGCCAGTTCCTCCTTCCCTGAGCTGATGTTCGTCCCTGTTGAGCTGTTGGTGTAACATCACCCTGTTGGTGAAGATGCTGGGGTCCTCCTAGGAGCATCATGCGTGGTTCTGATGTGCTGTCCCTGTCTGAGCTTCTGTGGGGTCACTCCTGTCCATCTAGGTAGTGCTATGCAGCCAGGGCAGTGGCAGAACACTTTGGATCCAGCTTTTGGGTGGCAGCATTTTGCAAGAGTCTCCCTTTATACTCGTCCTCTTGGGGTCGTGGGCTCTTGCTACAGGTTCTTCTGCCTAGCCCAAGCCTTGCATCTGTGTCTGCAGGAGCAGATGTGCAGGGTGCAAGCTCAAAGCTGTTGCCTTCTTCTACCTTCCCAGGGCACAGTTCCCTGAGCAGCATCCACTGCTAGAAAATAACTCCCAAAAAGAAACTGGCCGACCAGACTTGACTTGCTTCAGGGTTTTGCCTCGTTTCATAGATCCTAATGATCCTAGAAAAAAAAACCATTTGTCACCCTCTTGCTTGCTAACCCCCAGCTCTCGCTGCCTCCTGGATGGCTGTGCGCCTCCCTCTCGGAGTTGCAGGGAACTGGGGAATTCATCTGCACAACCCATGTCCCAGGAAACTAGGTAGCTGTCTTCCTTACATGCTTTGCTTGCAGGGTAGGTTTAGTCCACTGTAAGCCACCACTGCCAGTGGGGTGGTCCCCAGGAGGGACCCCATTGCCTGTCCTCACCATTCATGTTTGCTGCTGCCTGTCCCTCGTGCAGCTTGGTGGGGAGCTAGATGAGAGAAGTGACTGGATTAAGCCTATCCCAGCCCAAAAACACTGGCATGGGGGAGGGCAGAGCTGCCTTCAGCAGCAGCATCGCGCCGTGCCCCTGTGGTGGTTCCTGGGGTGGATTTGGTTGGAGTCTCTCCTTTGCTTCGGTGACAGCCCGGGACCTGTGGCAGGAGCATCTCCGCGGCTCATCGATTCCCAGTTTTACGGAGGAGGTCAGGAGCTAATCGTGACCTTTTATTCCCTTGCTGAGAAGAGCAGCTGGTGCCCTCAAGTGGTAAATCGCAGAAGGAGACCGGCTCCGGCAGTGCAAGCCCGGCTTTGGGCTCTTGCCCCGGATGGGATCGGTGCAAACCCGGCTTTGGGCTCCTGCCCCGGGTGGGATGCTGGGCTGGGGCTGCTGAATGCCTGCAGTGGTTTTGGCGCTTCTAACCATGCTGTTTACCCCTTGCAGGGCTAGACGGTGTGGTGACCGTCGTGGGAAGAAGACATTGTTCCCAGTGGAGCAGGGACCCTGACGGCAGGCGTACCCGGACAGCCACAGACGCTCCTCACTGCTTCATCCACCAACCTTTCCTTGAGGCTGACTGCGGCGTGTTCACACGAAACATCCTGCCTTGACTGTGCTTTTGGTCAGTTGGAGCCCAAAAAAGGTCCCCGTGAAATTAGATGGGGCTTGCCCTCGATCTGCAGCCCCACTCCAGCATGGCCCCAGGGGACGCAGGGGGCTGCGGCGGGCGGCAGAGCCAAGGTCCGGGGAGCCGACTGGGGCTGGGGCTGCTGCCGTGAGGGGATGCACGGGGACAGGGACAGCCATGCCCATCACGCAGGACAACGCAGGGGTCTTCCTACCCCTCCTGTGCCAGTGGCTGCAGAACAGCCGTCGGGAGGGGGCTGAGGGTGCTGAGCAGCAGCTCTGCCGCTCGGCCGTCCAGAAGCTAAGCGAGTACATCCAGCTCAACTTCTCTGTGGATGAGAGCAAACTGCAGCCAGGGAGCTGTGGGACTTTGGATACGGAGATCTGCACCATGTACCTGGCCCAGGAGATGCGAAAAAACGAGGTTCTCGGGTTGAGCTTTGGGAACATCCCTGCTCTGGGGGACTATGGGGAGAAGCGCCGGGGAGGGAAGAAGAGGAAGGGGCATAAGGGGCCGGTGCTCGACGTTGGGTGCATCTGGGTGACGGATTTGAAGAAAAACAGCCCAGCCGGGAAGTGCGGAAGAGTGCGCCTGAAAGACGAGATCCTTTCCCTGAACGGCCAGCTGATGGTCGGTGTGGACGTCACCGGTGCGAGGTAAGGGTGGAAGAGCAGCCACCAGCGGCTGCCTCTCCCGGC